GGCATGAAATTTTCCCTAGGACAGGGGTGTCAAACTCATTTTCACCAGGGGCCACATCAGCCTTGTGGCTGCCTTCAAAGAGCCAAATGTAATTTTAGGACTGCATAAATGTAACTACTCCTTAACCTAGGGGCAAGGAGGTTGGTGCTGCCGCTGGGTAGAAACAAGGTGCTGGGCTGGATAAAACATGGGCTTTCTGTTTGCCACCCATGCCCTAGGGGTTCCAGAGAATACTGCCTGCCCATTGTGAACTTTGCTTGGCTCACCACTGACCAGCCACGTGGCACCAGGCAGATGATTGCCTGTGTTTCGGTTTCTTCATCTGTGAAATGGGGACAGTAAGAGTGTCTGTGTTTTGGGCTGTGAAGCATTCATACATATTGAGTGCTTGGAAAACTACCTGGCTGTAGTACATAGTCAGCGTCATGTCAGTACCACTGCTGTGGTGACTCTCCATCTACAGACCTGAGTGTCCATGAGGTCAGAGATCCCTCCTTGGTCTTGGTCGTGGCTGTGGGCACCCATTAAGTTTTTGTAAAGTAAACAACTATATGGGCACATTGAACAGACACAGGTGCTTGGTCAGTTCCAGGCCCATCAGAAACAAAAAGGGTCCCTTTGTCCATAATGCTCCAAGTCCACAGGGGTGGATGGACAAAAAAACAGACATCTGTCCTGTAGACCTTGATGAGTCCTACTCACGAGAGTGAATCACATGCTGTGATTGAGAACATTGATCCAGGAAACCTGAAGAAGGATGCGTGCCAGCCCAAGGGAGAGCTGGATGGGGGAAGTAGGAGACAGCAGCATGGCCTGAGATGGCCAGATTGCACTGGCTGTGGTGATGTTTTGGCCTTTTCTCAAGGCTCAGAGGGAGGTCATGGCAGGTTTTGAAGAAGTGGGTTGGGGATAAGCCAAGAGCTGGTTTAAACTTTGTGGATTAAAAGGGGGCTGTAGTGGAAGCAGCTGGATGGTTAGGAGGTGATGAATGGGCCAGGGAGATGAGCAAGGGCTGGCTGAGGAGCCCGGAAGAAAAGCCCAGACCTACCACAAAGCCAGAAGGTAAAGCTGTGGCTGAGCATGGGGTCAGCCAGAGAGGGCGCAGAGGAGAGGAAAGGTCTGCTCTGAGCCTTGTGGTGCTCCTGTATTTGGCAGAGCTGTGGAGTGCTCTTTCAATGCCCCTGTATTTCTCCCCTGGGGAATCATGTGGCCTCAGGTACCATCTGTCTATTGTGTCTCCCAGGTGTCCTTCTCTATCCCAGATCTCTTTCTGGTAAAAAGAGTAGCTTCCATTTATCAATAGCACTGAGCTGAGTGCCTCGGCTTCGTTACCTTATTGAATCTTCTCCATGTTACAGGCTAAGAAACCAAGGCTCAGGGCGGCAGGCCTGTGACCAAGGCTAGGTAGGCAGTGAGGGCAAGCCCCAGCCTCTCAACCCCTTCTAGCTGCCGGCCAACCTCCTGCTGGCATCTCTGAGGACCCAGGGCACCCTCCCCTCCCCGAGGGATTCCCTGAGTTGAGCTTCTCCTCTGAATGTGCAGCTTCCCTCATATCCACTCAAAAAGTTACCTGGGAAAGTTTGAAACACCTACAGAAGTAGATGGAGTGAAGCCCTCTGTAGCCATCACCTGGTTCCAGTGTGTCACAGGGCTGTTTGGTCCATCCCTGGCCTGCCACGCCCAGACATCTGTATTTTGTGTGTCAGTATTCCAGAATGTTCTCTGAAATATAAGGACTGTTTTTTAAGAATAATAATACCAGTATCACACCTACAGATTCATAATTCCTTAATATCCAGTGCTTAAAGATTTTTTTTCTTTTTGAATCAGGATCTAGGTAAGATTCACGCATTGTGATTCATGAGTTTTTCCCTTTTAATATGTAGATTCTCCCTCTATCATTTTTTTCTTTGCAGTTTGTTAAAGAAACTGGGTCTTTCGCCACAGAGTTTGGTGCTGTCAGGCTTTTTGCTGCTTTCATTCCCATGGTGTTTATGTGGCACCGTCCTACTTTGCGTATACCCTGTCATTTTGAACTTGAGTCTGGAGGTGAGATCTGCCTGGAAGGTGGTATCAGTCTTGTCTGGTGGTCTGTGTGTGTGATGTATGTGGACAGCAACTGATGGGCAGCACCTGAATTACCCCTAAAGGGTTACAGAACTGTGATGAGGTCATTCCTTCTCCATGTGGGAGCGGGAACACATTTGTGCAGCTCACCTCTCATCTTCCATGTGGTTATACTGGAAAGGCAGGACAGACACTTGGGTTTGCCTTCCCTTTGCTTGCCAGTTTCTAACCCTGCTCCCAGTCCTGATACCCTACAGGCCGGAGGGTGTTTGTTCACTGGGTCGTGGAACTGTGTTCGTCCTTCCTGAGCCTAAGTCCCTATAGACCCCTTTGCCCCAGGACACAGCACCTGCCCAGCAGCAGCCAAGGCCCTTCCTTCTGGATCACCTCCTGCCACCGCTCTCCATCCTCCCTTTCTGACTGCTGCCATGGGAACTCTCAGGACTCCCAGAGAGGATGCTGTGGCCAGTAGTGCTTCTCCCTGCCCCCTTGGCCCTTCTTGACTTCACCAACTCATAACCACTCTCCAAGCTCATCACAGTGTCCAGGGGACATTCCTGACTTCTTCCCCACCCCCACTGTTGGGTCAGGCTCTTCTTTTATCCATCCTCTCATTTCATTCTTTTGGCAAATATGGAGCACCTCCCCTGGATGGGCATCTGGGGCAGGGGTAAGACAGGAATCCCCAGAGGCTTCAAGAACTTCCCAGTTTGGTGAGGAGACATGCCCTTTGTGACAGGTGCCTTTATAAGGGTGGGCATGAGACAGAGGGATGGCACAGAGGGATACCTGCTTGACTAGACGTCAGCAGGCTGCTGACGGCCTTGGGGCAGAGGCTCCACGATGTCAGAGCTGCCCACTTGAGACCCTCCTGGCTTCTTCTGTGGTCCTCCTGTGGTTGACATTGCACCACACAGGTTGGCAGGAAGAAGAGAGGTGCTGAGACTTCTCCCTGCACCTTTATTTTTGATTTGAGAAGGAAAGCCCTCCCTAGGCTGACCGCGCCCCCTGCCACTGGTATTTCATCATCCCACCATGGACAGGAACACTTCCCAGCCTAGGTTAGATGGGCTGAGGTAGAAGCCCATGCGTCCTGAGACCAGGGGCTGTAGGAAGGAGCAAGGTCAGTGTTGCCTCATTGACTGGCAGTAGCTCGAGAGTACCTGTTTACTAGTCCCCTCACAAGACTTGTGGCTCCTGGAAGGCAGGGTCTGCGGCTGCTTCATGTGACAGGTATGCCTTCTGCCTTTGTCGGCTGAATGGGGGAACAAAGTCATGTAGGTAGATTGAGGGACCCCACTCCTGTCCCTTTATTGAGAAGTAGACACATGGCCACCTGGTTCCCACTTTCAGGTGTCACCCATTCACCAGATTTCGAAAAGCCTGGCATTACTCATATGAACCATGCAGGCCTTTCTGGGGAAGCTGAGGAGGTGTGGCCAGACTGCCAAGCTGGTCTCTGCTCCCCCTCTTCCCCAGGGTTGGAGGGAAGAAAAGGTGTGGAAATGCCTGTGTGAGGGGCTTAGCTGCTTTACTCACCCTCCCCTCCTCGGCTGACCTGTCTCAAGTCTCCTTTGAGTTGCTGAGGAGGCTCCCATGATTGTGTGTGCCGAGGGAGGCACAGGCTGAGGACACAGGACGTCCCAAAGCCACCTGTTAGTGACCCACCTGTTAGTTTCTTCTCTCCCAATGGAGAGCATTTTAAAAAATTGGGGTGTAATTTACATTGCAGAAAGGTTGCCTTTTTAAAGCATACAAATTTGGTGATTTTTAGTAAGTGTTGTGCAACGGTTTTCTAATTCCAGAATATTTTCATCACCTCAGAAAGAAACCTTGTGCCCATTAGTAGTTAGCTTTTATGTCCTCCTGACCAGCCCTTGGCACCCGTGAATCCACTTCCTGCCTCTGTTCTGGACGTGTCACATACATGGAACCACACACTGTGTGGCCTTTTGTGTCTGGCTTCACTCACTGAGCATCGTGTTTTGAAGGTTCAGCCACACTGTAGCGAGTGTCGATGTTTCACTCCTTTCATGGCTGAGTAATATTCCGCTGGGTGGACCATGGTGTGTTTATCCATTCATCTGTCAGTGGGCACTGAGTTGTTTTCAGTTTGAACTGTTGTGAATCCTGCTGCTGTGGACATGGGCATACAAGTTTTTGTGCAGTATATGTTTTCATTTCTCTTGGTTATATATCTAGGAGGGATATATGGGTCATAAAGGTAGGTATTCTATTTTAACAATCTGAGGACTTCTCAGACTGTTTTCCAAAGTGATGACACCAGTTTTCCTTCTCACTGGCAATGCACGGGGATTCAGTTTCTCTATGTCCTCACCAACACTTATTTTCTTTACTACTCATCATCCTAATGAGTGTGAGGTGGTATCTCCTGGTTTTGATTTGCATTTTCCTAATGATTAATGATGTCAAACATCTTTTTGTGTGCTTATTGGTAATTCGTATATCTTTGGAGAAATTTTCCTTCTGGGAAAGGGGTGGGTCAAGGCTCTAGGATAATGGGCCTCAGAGCCTGCAATCAGGTCTCAGCACTGGCACTTAGCAGCTGTGTGTCTAGCCTCCGTTTCTCCATTTGTTGGCAGGTACTGTGAGGGCTTTAGGGGGAGTATGTGCTTGGGGGCTATACAGATAGCAAGAATTTTTCCATTAATGATCTGAGAACGTCATTCTTACTCATCTTTAATGCTGTTGTGGAGTCTGCTTTGCTGGGTGCTCTGCGAAGAGTAAGCTAATTCATTTTGGATAACTGTATGGATGAAAAGTAGGCACACAGAGAGAAGTGGAAGCCAAGCAATGGAGAAAGAAGGGTAGGGGCTTGCAGTGGGGGGCACGCATCTGCCTCTGTCTCGTGTCTGTCCCTGTAGTCTCCTGTCCACCCTCTGAAACAGACTTCCTTCTTTTCATTATTTAAGGAGGAGCCAAGGAAGGTTTGCTTCACCTATGACCTGTTCCTGAACCTGGAGGGCAACCCGCCTGTGAACCACCTGCGCTGTGAGAAGCTCACCTTCAACAACCCCACCATTGAGTTCCGGTACAAGCTCCTGATGGCTGGCGGGGTGAGTGTGCCAGAGTGGATGGGCCCTGCCCCTGCTTGGACGGATGCAGTTTCTCTGTCGTGGCTTCATCCCTGCTCCCTGTGGTGGCAGCCTTGGTGCTGGGAGTGCCTTGGGATTTCCTGGACACGTCTCTCCAGCCTATGGTTGAGTTCCTGCCTGGTATCCAGGAGGGCAGGTTGTACAGGTAGCACCTGGCAGCGCAGGAGAGGACCCAGGTGTCCCGAGTCTGTGCTGGGGCGTTGTCAGCTGGGAATGACCAGTCGCCACTTATCCCCGTAGCTTCTTGGTTGGCTGTGATTAATTAGCATTTTCTTCTGTAAGGGGTGGGGAAAAAATGGGTGTGAGGCCATCCTGTCAGCGTGTTAAGACGCTGGAGCCTGCTTTTAACTGGATTGGCAAGGCTGTGCTGGAGCCCTGTCACCTAGGGAAACAGTGGCAGCTCTCTCCAGGGTCCCTGATGATGCACTCTGCCTAGTAGTTCTGTCCTTGTGAGGCTAGATGAAGGTGTCAGCTCTCAGATCCTAGGTCTCTGTAGTGAGTCATGTGGCCAGCAGTCCTGGTGTGGTGGCAGAGTGCCAGGAGCATGTGTCAGCTCTTAGAGAATGTGGGTGGGGTGCTTGGTGCTTATGGATGGGTGATTGTGGGGGAGGCAGGGCATTTGGCTGCAGGCTGGATTGTGTGTGCCGAGGGAGGCACAGGCTGAAGACACAGGACGTCCCAAAGCCACCTATTAGTGACCCAAAGTCACTAAGCATTTGCCTCCCTCCTAGCAGTGCCTGTAGTGAAGGGTTCAGGTCGTGAGTGAGTGAGTGTGTGTTGGGGGGGTGGGCGGGCCCACCTCCCCAGTGAGTCCAAGGAGTTTGAACTGAGTTTCTTTGGTCCAGGGAGCAGGCCTTTCCTTTTCATTTAATTTAGTAAGCAGTTACTTATTTACTGTAGGAAGTCGGAGTGATTCCTCCCATGTCCCTAATAAAAGTCTGGGATTTAGACCCAGCATGTGATTGTTGGTGGAGTTCGGTACCGGAATGGGAGGGTGTTGAAATCATTTGCCATAGACATTTGTCCTGAAGTTTGCCTGGGAGTTCTGGAAGAACCAAGGAAAAGTGGAGAGGAGTTTCCAGGTTCAGCAAGTCCTCCTCAGCTGTCTTCACCTTGTTTTCCACAGTATTTCCCTAAGGTGTTACCCAAAGCTTCCATAGTCACATCTCAGAGAGATAGATGCTCAGACAGTCAGTGTTCTTAGAGCTCTAGCACCAAGGGACTGTCCCCTTCTGCTTCTTGCATCAGGAGGTTTTCTTGGCTGTGAAGAGATGAAGGCTCAGTGCATCATCTAACCCTATAAAACTGGAGGGGTGGGGGAGGAGGAGGAGACATGAGAAGTTGAGGGAGAGAGGTTGGGATGGCAGGTCCACCTTGCAGTTTGGGATGGGCCAGTCCAGGAGAAAGGAAGGGCGAGTGTGGCCCTTGGGTGGTGGTGTGGTGGTCTTTGCCTGGCACTTTTCACCCTTGGTGAGGGCTGCCCAGAGGTCTGGTCAGGAACTTTCTTGCCTTTTGGGGCTGTGCGAGTTTGGGGCTTACCCTGGACTGGTGGCAAGAACAGTGCTCTCTGATCTTAGGAGCAGCCTAGGACAGCTGCTCCTAGACCTGAGTTGTGGCCCTTACATTAGCCAGTCTGGAGCTCTGAGTGTTTCCGTGGGGCTGGCACTTGCCATCTGGTGGCAAGTGACCACAAACCGGCCTGTGTTGATGCTCGTGCTAGAAGATCTGGAGGACCGCGTGATCTGTAAGTCGATAAGAACTGCTTTCTCTGCTGCCCCTCAGTGGGAGGCACGTGGGTTTGTAATTCCTCACACGAGGTTCAGAAACTTCCTCAGCAGTGACCCGAATGGCTTGGTCACTTTCTGAACAGAGACCAGCCTGCCTGTCCCCTCAGCATTGTTTCATCCTGTGCCTCACTGGTGGCGAGGGTCTGTGTTTCCATTATATGAGACACATCCTTGTGAGACTCTGTGCTGGAGGTGGAAGCGGATTCATTTACTCACATTACCTGTTTTCCGAAAGGCTGTTAGATAGGAGAGAAAGATGCAAGGCCTTCACTGTGTGATCCTGGCATAGCGTCAGTCTAGGACATTTCTCTGGAGGAGAGAAGAGAAGTGAAAATGAAGGGAGGAGGCACCGTCCTTGAGGGAGCAGACCCATGGCTCTGAGGGGGCTTGTCTGTTTCCTGGGTTGGGCTGTTAGTACCTCTCTAAACTCATGCATGTCCTTGCTGGCCTTAGAGTGTGGTGATGTCCTCAGACCTGGTGGTCTTCAGTCATGCTACCAGGGTCACCTGGGTTCTGGGTGTGTGGTTAAGGGTGTCGTGGTGAGGCAGGCTTGGGTGAGCAACTTGGCTTCGGGCCTCATTGCCTCGGAGTCGGGGGTGGGGGCAGGAGTGGCATGAAGGGCTCCACTGCCCTCCTTTCAACCCAGTGTCCCCGTGACCAAGACTGGGCATTACATCAGCTCCTTGCATGAAAGGTTGGGCTCGTCAAGGATCCTAGGTGCTCAAGGTTATTACAGCTAAATGCTTTTTCTTCTTTTTTTTTAATGTGAACTTTATTCTTTTGTTTTCTTATTGCCATCTAGAAAGCTTACTCTGAGTGGCTGACCACTAATAATGTGAACTTCCAGTGTCAAAACTTTGAGAACTTGCCCCTGGGTCTTCTCTCCCTTCAGCAAGTGCCGCGGGAGCCTCACTGGACCTGGGCAGGTGTTTCCGGGAGCACCTCCTGGCAGGAGCCCAGGCCCTTCCTCCTCCTAGTAGTTAGCAAAGGGCAGAGCTCATGTCCCTCTCCTGCGGGCTCTAGCCAGGTGGCTTTTGCAGAGAACTGGGCCTGCCCCCGTGCAGTTCCCTCCTGCCTCGGCCTCACTGCTCGCTCCGTTTCAGTCACCTTTATTCACCAGAGAGTGGAGGAGTGAGGCTCCCGCAGGAGATGTGGGACCCGGCGAAGTCACCACACGCATGTCCAGCAGAAGTTGCTTTCTCCGCTGCATGCCTTCCTGGAGTAGGTGTCTGCCTGGCTTCTTGCCTTCGTGCTTCTGATCTTTCTTAACTGCAGCACGCAGGCCAGCTTTGGCCACAGCTGCCTCCTTGTGCTTCTCAAACACACCGCCAGTCTTCTTGGCCCAGGGCCCACCACACGAGACTGCACCAACTGCACCCGGGCCCAGCCATCCTGGGACCCCGCTTCTCTTTGCTCTCCACCATGAGCCTGCTTCACTCTGGGCACTCAGCACCCAGACCCTCATGGAGGAAATGGCTTTGACTCTTTTGGAAAACTGACACCCAGGCTCTCCTTGGCCTCCTCCCCGAGGTGGAAGCTTGGATGCCTCTAGCCGCATTCCTGCAAGCCAGCTTCCTCTTACCCATCGGATATCCAGCCTGCCTCCTTGCTCATTGATAACATCTGTCTCTTCTTTATCACTAGGTGATGGTAATGCCCGAAGGAGCAGAAACGGTGTCCAGGCCCAGTCCTGACTACCCCATGTTACCCACAATTCCACTCTCTGCCTTCTCTGACCCCAAGAAGACCAAACCGTCCCACGGCTCCAAGGTTAGTGAGGTGGAAGGCCCAGTCACATGGGAGCACTGGGGCCCAGCAGAGGGTCCTGGGCTCACGGAACTCCCTCCGCAGAGCTGGACCCTCCGTCCCTGGACTCTTTCCCTTGGCATCTTCCTCTTGGAGCTCTCTGTGCTCCCTGTGGCTGCCCTCTGCCACTTAGTCAGAACGGTTGGCCCCTCCTGGAGTACATAAAACAGCCTAGTAATCACAGGCTCTTCACCCTCCTTCTCTTGAGGCCAGAGAGCCTTCCCTGTCCTCCCCCTCCTGCCAAGTCAGTGGGCTTAGGACCATTCAGACAGGACCTAAGATAGTTTCTCATAGTTGGGAGCCCGGACAGAGTGTGTCCCCTGCAGCCACCACTGCCTACCTTCTCAGGACTTTTGAGTACAGCCAGAGTGCTCTGTCCACCAGGGCTGGGTGCTTCGTGCCTGGGCTATTCCCGGTTTGGCTTCTTTCTTTGGCAGTAACTCCTGGCAGAGAAAGTTAATTGGGGGAAGGGCCAGGTAGAACCATATGGGTAAGTGAGCTGATTTCCCCCAAGAAGAAATGTTTTATCATCTTCTCTCAGCCCTGTCAACCTTCCTGAGACCACCCTCTGAATCATCCTACAGTAGTCGCCAGAGACCTTCTGATGGTGTCATGCTGTACACATAAACTCCTGAGTGTTCGTTTTGTTCCCTTGCAGCCACCTACACAGCTTCGTGGCCCAGAGGCCAGGTTCCATCTGGCTCTCAGGGCAGTTTGTCTTTGCATCACCGACCGCACAAGTTTATCCACTTTTCATCTTTGCATTTTTCTTGCTTCACTCACCTGTTGGGTGTTGTGGGCCTAAGGAACCCCAGAAGGGACAGGTTGAACTCTCAGGCCAAATGACAGCCTTACTCATCAGCAACGCTGAAGGAGACTCACATCACCCAGGCAGGGTGTTTCTGGCACTTTCCTCAGACCAGTCAGTCTCTGACATCCTCACTTTCATCTGACTTAAGCCCTTGAGACGTATAAGGCCAGAGCCTTAAGAATGGAGTGCAGCTCTGAGGATCTTCCCCATGCCAGCCTCCCAGCCCATCTTTCCTGAGTCTCGTGGAGGTCCAGTGGAAGAGAAATTCTTGCTAGAGATTTGGCAGTTTCTCTCTCAGCCATTCACAGTTGTCTGGAAATCCATGCAAAATAGAAAGGGTAGGACTTGTCATTTCTTCTCTACGTGTCACTTGTGAACAACCCAAACCCCATGAAGAGATGCCCTGCAGCTGGCAAGGACACTCCCATGGCCAGTGGAGCTGCATCTGTGGGGGCTGCTTCATGGCCCCTCTCACTGGAGTGTCTTTATAACCCACAGGATTCCCCAGGCCAGATGGGTGTATGTGCTAGACTCAGAGGCCTGTCAGTAGGGTCCTTGGTCTCCATCCCAACTTGTCCTGGAATCTTTATCCAGCCACCTGGGTGGCATAGCTTAGGAAGCTCCTTTCTTGTTGGTTTCTCAGGCAGCACAAGGTGGGTTCTGCTCTGCTGGAAGCCGTCTCTGCCTATTATCCAGTCCTGGCTTCTGAGTTGACAGCCTCACTCTGCTCTTCTAGGAGCAGTGAGGTAAGGCCTGTGCGCCAGCCTCTTCCTTCAGACGAGCACCTTCCTTTGGGTACTGGCTGTACCCCCCAGATTAGTTCTCTGCTGCTTGGACCCAAAGAGTCTGATCACCAGGTCATGTGATCCAGGCAGAAGAGTCCAGGCAGTGCGGGGAAAGGGTTGGTCATTCAGGGCCTTGCTTGCCAGGGTCCCCACCCTGGGGGAAGCTGGAGAGTATGGCTTTTGTAGCCCTAGGCAGATTGGTCACTCATGGCTCCTTGGCAGGTGGCATGGAAGACAGGAGTTGGAGCCTCCTAGGTGAGGAGTAAGATCCCTGAGGGCTCATACTTCAAGGATAGCGTTCCCTTTGGTCCCCACCCCAGAGTACCCCTGGACTTGTGTACCTGAAGCTTCGGCCTGTGTGATGCCAGCCACTTGGCCTGGGTGATCTTTCTCTATAACTTTGTTCTTAGCCATAACTTTATTCAAACCATTGACAGCTTTAAGGATATGACTGTGAGGGGTCCTCACCCCTGGGAACATCCACATTACTCTCAGAACTTAGTGTGTGGTTTCAGCCTAGTTTTGAGCACCTATGCAGACCCCCAGGTGAAGAGCCGCTGCTTGGAAGGCCCCTGCTTGCTGGACAGGCCCAGCTGACCCCAGGTCTGGGGGAAACAGTGGGAACCATGCTGAGGCCTTTGGCAGTCATGCCCATTGGGTGTGCTCTTGCCCTGCCTCTTGGGGCTGTGGCAGCCCCTATGGCCTGGGGGGTGCATGGATACTTCGAGAAGAGGCTGGAAGTGCATGGGTGGGGTCTTCTTTTTGCCTCCCTCCTCAGGGGAGCAGATTGCTGGGGAATGGAGCCCTCAGGGGCTGGCCCCATTCCACACACCAGCCCCGATGGTGGCACCCCTTTAGATGGTCGGCTGGGAGCTTGTGGTGTGAGTACTCCTCCCCACTGCCCTGGAGACAGAAGGGCCAGGGCTGGGGCCCAGGGGCTGATGTTTCTCCAGAGAGGCAGCAGGAGCCCGTGTCCACACAAGATTGTCTCTGAACCTTTGGCACTGATGTGGGTTGTGGATTTGCAAGAAGATGGTGACCAAGTAGATCCAGGGTGGTTGAGGCCATGTCAACTGTTCATGTAGCTGTTTATTGTGGGTCGGGAGAGCAGGAAGCAGAGGCCTCACTCCTGGCCATTTAGCTGGCTTGCCTGTCCCCTCAGCACTTGGGTAAGCTGGTGAAATGTGGCCACCTCAGGTGATGCATACCACCCCCAGGGTCTGGCCAATGTTGGTTTCCTGGTGAGCTTTGATTTGGAGAGCCTCTGAGTCCAGCTGAGCACCTAGCTGACAGAATGGGGGCGGAGCCCTTGGCAGCTGACAGCAGCAGGCACCTGTCCAGCAACACTGGACGTGCGGGGTGATTAAAGGATATTGCCAGGGAAGAGGCAAACAAGGTGTCACACTGGGCTTCTACCCAAAGGGCATGCTCTGTACGGAGTGACTGTTGCCTCCATGAGTGCGCTCTATCATCGATGGTGAGGTAGGTGGTTTTGCCCTTGTTCAGAGGAAGTTCTGGCGCACAAGGTTGGCATCATCTGGCCCAGCTTCCCTGGCAGCCTGGAGCAGGGCTGCTCTCTGCCTCTGTCCCTGGCTTGCGCTCCGTGACCTGGCTGATCTACCCTGAACCCTCTGAATTTCCCAGGAGCCATTCACATTATAGAAAAGCTGCCCAGGCAGCTTCAGTTCCAAAAAGTCAGGAGCTGTTGGTCCTGTACAGCACTTGGGAACCCAGCAGGCAGTCAGGGTGCTGACTGTGGGCCTGAGAGAACCATTATACCTGACCAGACAGGCTGAGTCGGGATGACCAGGCAGGAGATGCACAGACTCTGTGGTGGGGACAGAAGAGAGGGTACAGCCTGCCAGCACCCTTAGTGGGGAGCTTCCAGGTGTCCGAGCGGGAGGGGTCTTTGTGGCCGCCATTGTCTGACTCACGTGTGCTCTTCTTGAATCCCTCAGGGAATGTCAGTTCAATTCAGAGGGGAGTCTTAGCCTGCAGTCGCCTGGGACCTGCTGACACTTCCTAGTAGTTTAAAGGGACAGCTCCATTTAAAACTATCACCTGCTGCCTTACTTTTTCGCTTTTTGGAAGATTTTCTCTAGCTGAGTCTGAATCAGGTGGATTATACTTTATAGGGGTCGGGGGAGGTGGAGCAGGGCGACCTGAGATGCTGTTTGACTATGTCTCTCCCTTCCCACCCAACATTTCAGGATGCCAGCAGGGAGAGTGGCAAGGCCTGCAAGACCCACAAGACGGCCAAGGAGCACCGGGAGCGGCCACGCAAAGACTCAGAGAGCAAGGGCCCCTCCAAGGAGCCAGAGCGTGAGCAGGCTCGGAGTGCAAAGGACACAGCACGGAAGCTGGTTGAGGGCCGGCCCCCTAAGGAGGAGAAGGCCCCGCCACCCAAGGCTGCATTTAAGGAGCCTAAGATGGCCCTGAAGGAGACCAAACTGGAGAGCCTGTCCCCCAAGGGCGGCCCCCCACCACCACCCCAATCCAAGTCTTCCAGTAAGCGGCCAGCTGCCGCCGACTCACCCAAGCCCAGTGCCAAAAAGCAGAAGAAGAGCAGCTCCAAGGGGTCCAGGAGCACCCCTGGCACTTCGCCCCGCACCTCGTCTTCCTCCTTCTCAGACAAAAAGTCGGCCAAGGACAAGGGCAGTGTCAAAGTGGAGAAGATCAAGGCCGAGAGTGAGCCCCGGGAGATCAAAAAACCCCTAGAGGTGGAGGAGTCCAACTCGGAGGATGAGGCTTCCTTCAAGACAGAGGTGAGGTGCCTCCTTTCCGCATCAGTCCTGTCACCCCCGTCCTCATCCTTTTTCCTGCTTCTGAACCATCGAAGTCTTGTCAGCCCAAAGGTTAGGTGAGGAGTCTGCGATCCCAGGCATAGGGCTCCCACTTGCTCCTCATGACTTTGGGCACACCTGAACACCTTGCTAAGCCTTAGTTCCCCTTTTGTCAAGGGTGATAAAGCCTGCCTATGAGAACTCGGTGGAAATAGTACTTAGGGAAGGGTGGTTCTGGTAAAGCATGATAGTCTGATACCTGGGTTCCAGGTTCTTTACCTTGGGAGCCCCTTGCATGGCCCAGGGTCTTGATGGCCGCTTTGGGGTCAGGGTGAGTGAGTGCATCTCACTGTCATCCCTTCCCCAGCCACCATGTGGTTTGTCTGCAGAGAATTCACTTGCTTTGCCAGCAGGGTAGACCTGTGTCTCCATCCTGCTTTCCACAGTCTGGAAGTTTAACGCTGACCACTGAGTCTCACCCAGCTGCCTTCCTAGATGACCAGTAGAGTCTGAGGCCTCACCACTCCTACCCCTGTCCACTCCTGTTCATGCAGCCTGGACACAGGGGTCTTGACTAGGCAAGGCTCGAGTTTTCTAAGCATGGGCCAGAGCCCCTCTGCGAGAGTGGCATTCTGTCACTGTGAGAGGCTCTGGGCTCCTTCTGCAGCAGTGTTTCCAGGTAGCTCTCTGAAGGTTGCCGTGAGAGACCCTCAGAACCACAAAGGACCCCACAGCCAGATTGCTGACTGGGTGGCCAGACCCCCCTGGGGCCTCAGGTGATGATGTCCTCTGAGTGCTGTGATTGGCATCTGGTGGTCGGAGAACAGGTGCCTGGGTGGGTGGATGGATGGGTGGGTGGATGGATGGGTGGGTGGATGGATGGGTGGGTGAATGAGTGATCCCTTTACCTGTAGCACCACACCAGCGCTCAGTGGCCTTTTGCTATTTCCAAATCTTCATTCACTCTCAAAGGCTGAAGCTTTGCCGCTAACTCTGCTGCTCAGGGCTCCACTGGGACTTTGAAAGTGACTGCCGGAAATGAAACTAGAGCTATTTTGTATCAGCAACACCAGTGTCATAAGTATGTGGCTTCCAGGAGGGTACCCCATCGGAGGCAACAGCACTGGGGGTGATGATTCAGTCCATGGGTGACAGTGTGCCACTGGTGTAGGGGATGCACATGGGGCCAGTGATGCCATGTGCCCAGCATTTCTCACAGCCAGGAGTCACTGTCTGCCAGTGAACCTAAGGTAGCAGGACCTTGGAACATTTCTTATTTGGAAGCCTCCTGGCGATCCAGGGCCATCTCAGTATCCCATTCAGCTGTCGAAGGTTCTTTAGGTGCTAAATAGCACCTCGGTCTGTCATGTGTCATCTGCTTAGCATCTGGAGCTCTGAGCAGGTGCTTTTCCCTCCCTTCCGCCCTAGATGCTTCCAGGTGAGTCCCTTCTGCACCCAAGGGTGGTGTTCCTGCACTGGGTAAGAGATGGAGGCCTTGCCTGATGCCCCAGGTGTCCACACTGATGACCAGCTGTGATCATTGTGAGACTTGGGGTGCTGTGTTGGAAGCCTTCTTCCCCCAGCACTGCTGCTCGGTGGGCTGGATGTCTGGTGTCTATGTCCTTGGGTACCTATGACCTGAGGCTGGAGTTTTGTGGAAGCCTGGGGGGGTTTCTCCTGGCTGAAGTGCATCCCAGCTCTGAGAAGCTTTTGAATGACAAACTTTAGCCACTCAAGCCCCATGCAGGTGTGAGACCTGGGCCCCCAGCAGGGTGCCTGGGGGACTCTAGGCCTGCAGGACTGTGACTCAATGACATTTCCCAACCCTAGGACCTTGGTGAGGCACAAACATCTATAGTGGAGGAGGCAAGACAGCCTTTCATACCTGGACCTCCCAGCCTTCCTTGACGATCTCAGGTCATACCACCCTGGAGGCTGCATGGGGTGCCACCTCTGGAAAGCTCTGGCTGTGGCATGAAACCTGAGTTGCCTTTTCCTGTTTGGCCAAGAGGGTGTCAGGGGGCTCCTTGTCTGAGTCCCCGGGCCGAGCCCCCAGCTTCCCCAGCTCTTTCAGCTGCTTCTCCGTGGCCTCCTTGGCCTGTAGGGTTCTGTTCAGTCATGGGCAGGAGTACTGAGAGCACAAAAGGCCACTCTGTCCTCCTGGACACTGCATGTGGCCAAGCACTGGCACTTGCCAGTAGCACTCACAGTGACCCCTCATGGGCTTTTGGACACACACCTCTAGGCCCTTTGGGTGGAAACCATTTCCACCCCTTGGGTTTATGTGGAAGGAAAAGGGACAAATGCATCTGAGCTCATTTGACTTGATGGCCTCCCCTCCCGCTTCCCTACCATGCTGCCCTGAGCCCCTGGCCTGGCCCTGCTGTTCTTTGGCAGTCTCGTGGACCTTCTGCTCACGCCCCTGGCTCCAGGTTCTCTGCCCCATACAGCAGAGGCATGGTGGGCACTGCCCTCCACATGCTGGTGGCTGGCACACACACTTAGCAGGGGCCGCAAGGCAGCTTTTACAGATAAGGGGTCCTGAGTCTCAAAGCCAAGGATGGCCTTGGCCAGTTGGTGACAAAGCCAGGGTCAGAACCAAGACCCCTGAACCAGAATTAGAACTTAAATCTGCATGCTAGAGGGCCCACCAGGCTCCAGGCCCATTGTTGGGGGTTTGGGGAAACATGCCTGTCTGTGTGGCACCCCCACAGTGGACAGTGGTTGATAGTAATCTGGGCTGGGTTTCTCCTGGAGGATTCTCCAGCTTGGAGCCATCATGAGGGAACTGGTAGTAGGGTCTGGAGCTGGTGGTTTAGGCCCAGATAAACTCTAGAAAAGAGGCCCCTTAACTCTTCAGGTGACAAGTGTTCTGTCCCTAGGTGGCCTGATCACTCTCTGGATCTATTGAGTGAGCAGAGACTTGAGGCTTTCTGGGTCCCCTCTGCGGGCTGGGAGCTGCCCTGGACCCAAAGACCATCAGGAGGGACTTTGCTAAGCCCCTGCTTTCCTGGGGTCTCCTCTCACATGACCCATGCCAGGACTGAGCAGACACTGTAAGGTGCCTCTCCTGTCTCCTGGTCCCCTCTTCTCTTGACAAGGTGGGGCTCCCAGGGGTGGGTGGCTGGTCCCAAGTGCTCAAGGTGTTCCATTTCTCCAGATGGTCCCACCCTGAGAACAGGCTTGCTGGGGGTAAAGTAGCCTCCCAGGTTTCTGGGGAACTCTGGTCCAGGGAAGACTGTCCTTCTGCCCTTCAGAGCCTGTGCCATAGACCTGTGGCCTGCTTGGCCATGTGCACCTTCTGAACTGCTACTTGGCTGGAACAAAGCCCCTGTTCTAGCTTGGTGCTCCATGTGGGAAGCCAGAGGCTCCTTTCCTGAATAGGGGTCTGTAGTAACCAGTTCCTTTTCACCCAGGGAAGTGCAACCCTCCTCATCTTACCCCCATGTATCCTAAGGCCTAGTGGCCTAGATTTAGCTTTTACTGTCCCCTGGTGGCTGAGTCTGGGTGGGTGGCTGCAGGAGGGAGATGTGATGGGGCTCTGGGTACAGTGGGGCCAGGCTCAAGTCCACCTTGTGTTCAACTGCCTGTCATATACACACACTGATCATCACCTCAGGGCACCTGGGAGGTGATGGCAGCACGTGGCAGGGAGATAGCTTTTTGTCATCACTCAGCATTGGGATTGGCAGTGGGGAGACAAGGGGCAGAATGAGAGGCTAGGTCTCTGCACCCTCCTTTCCTGTTCTGGACCTCTCCTCTGTTCCCCACGGCACCACAGCCCCCATAGCCAGCTCTTGCCCTCACAAGGAGGAGGAAGGCAGGGCCCACAGACAGACATGCTACACCCTCCCTTTCATGGAGAGCCTAGTTCCCTGCCCTCCTGCCTAGGCACATGTGAAAACTAGAGATGTGATGTGAGCTTCTTCTCCTGGAATCACTAGAAATTTGAAGTTCCTCAGTGGGAAAAGAAAGGCCATTGCACATGGAACGAAAAGTGGTGGTGCCCTGGGGCCAGGAGCTGCATGCACGGGGCCCTGGAAGCCGTGTTCTCAGGAGTGTGTGTGCAGGGCCCTCCTGTGTGCCTTGAGCCTGGTGCCTTTGTCACCTTCTGAGTGCGTATCTGGGGGAAGACTCCATCTGGTGTCGCCGCTACCAGAGCACATTTCTTATCTACTCCTTTTTCTTGGACTGAAAGATTATTCCTGTCTTTTCTCCCCGCTGTCCCACTCCACCCCTGTTGTGGGGTGAAGTCCGCCCAGTCGAGCCCATCCAACTCCAGCTCCAGCTCTGACTCCAGTTCGGATTCGGATTTTGAGCCATCTCAGAACCACAGTCAAGGTGAGTAATGGTGAAGGAAAGAGACGGGAAGTTTCCAGTGGCTCACTGCTGTGGGAGCTGCCCTGATGCTGCCTGGAGGCTGGTGGGGTTCTGGGTTTGTTGTGCAGTCAGAGAGGTTTGCTAGTAATTTCTGGTGACTTCACGTATGAGCTTCAGCAGGGTCTGACAGCTGCTGCCACTGCCAGAGAAACCCATTGACACCTTGCCCCAGGGCTGGGGGTGATGGGGAAGGCCTAGAATGAGGGATGAGGGTGAGGGTGATGAAGGGGGGCCTGGAGCTATGGGGAGGGCAGGAGCCTTATGCCTGAGCTGAACTTACCCTGGGCATTTTTTTCAGTATTCTACTGCTCGCCTAGACTGGGCCCCCAGAGAGCCACATTCATAGGTTGTAGAAGCTTGGGGAGGGTGTATTGAAAAGAAAAGCAGAAGTGGTGTGAAGTGCTACTCCTTCTAGTGTCTGTCCCCTGGGCCCTCAGGATGTTCTGTCTGTGTGACGAGGGCTTCAAGCTGTGCTGATGAGGAGCTTGCAGGCTAGTGGGGATGGGCCCCTTTCTGGGGTGTGTGTGTGTGTGTGTGTGTGTGTGCATGATTCCAAAATATGTAACATTTTGCTTTTTCTGATTGTATAAATGGCTTATTCTATAGTTGTTCAGTCTCTTTAAGAGTCTTTAAATCTTGCTTTAGTTTGTTCTTTTTAAGCTTATTTTATTGATTATGCTATTACAGTTGTCCCATTCTTTTTTTCCCCTTTTATCCCCCTCTGCCTGGTACTCACATTCCCTCCAGCACCCCCACCCCCTTACTTCATGTCCATGGGTCATACATGGTTTCTCCATTTCCTATACTATTCTTAACCTCCCCCTGTCCTGTACCTTCATTTGTGCTCTATCCGTAGCCAGACACCCTCCTCACCAACTCCTCCCAGATGGAGGCAGCATTAGCTCCTTTCCCAGCCCTGCCCACCCTGTCCCATCACAGGATAGCTCTCCTGGATCGGGGCAGGAATGCTCTGCTTTGAAAGTGGGTCTGCCTGGCACTCAATAGTCTGCATTTCTGCCTTTTCCCTGTAGGACCTCAGGAATGGGGACGCTGTTAGGGGGAAAGGGTATAAGGCCCACTTGGCTGCCCCAGACTAGGGAGGGCCTTCCTTAGGTGCAGGGCGGGCCTGGCCACTCCCAGCCTGCAGGACACAGGTGGAAAAGGGTGGCATGGAGCACACTAGCCCTGTCGACCCTGCCACTCACCCTCAAACCGGAAGCATTTCTTCTGGTAGATTGGACCCACAGTCTCCTCCCAGAATCCTCTCTTAAGGGTTGTGGAAAGCTGGAGGAAGAGATCATAAAGGGTGGGTGGGGGGCGGACCATTTGACCTGGAATTCAGATGTGCAGTTGCTGAGGGGCCTGGGGGATGGGTGCTGGAAGCCCAGATTCTCCGAGGGCTCTTATCTATGGGGAAGGGAGGGGGGACCTGCTGAAGTGGGATCACATGACCAAGGTAATTGAGGGCTTTGTGTCCCTCTGTTGCCTTGGTAACCGGAATATAAACCAAAGATGCCTCTGTAGGGGACTGGAACTAGGTGCCTCTGGAGAAAGGGGAGGATGGTGGGCTGGGAGCAGCAGAGGGGGTTGCTGAGGCACTGGTCAGGCTTGAGTGGGGGCACAGGCTGGTGGGGGATCCTGTGGCCCTAGGCTCTGGCCATATTGTCCTCCCCAAGGCTGCCTGGTCCTGGCTCCGGGCAGAGGCTCTGATCTCAGAGCTTAGGAGCAGAGGATGGCTGCTCCTTTGGCTTTGACAATGGAAGGGCCCTGTGGTCCTGCCTCAGGCCAGGGTCCAGAGGCCTGTGAGCAGGGCCAGGAAGGTAGGGGATGTGGGGGCTAGAGGGTTCCTTAGGCAGAGGGCAGCCTTGGAGACAGCCCTTGAAGATGGGTGGCAGGCCCCATGTGGTCAGAGGGATTTGTATTCATAGGATTTGTATGGGTACATTTCGGAGGTTGTGGTGTCAAGAAGCTCTGTGGCCCTGGAGGTGGAGGGGACCCTACAGGGCCCAAGTAGAGCCCTGACCTCCCTCCTTTTTCTCCTCTTCCTCGCCACCCTCCCCAGGACCCCTGCGCTCTATGGTGGAGGACCTGCAGTCTGAGGAGTCCGACGAGGATGATTCTTCATCAGGCGAGGAGGCTGCCGGCAAGACAAATGCAGGGAGGGATTCCAGGTGCCTGGGCTGGTGGGGGATGACTGGGTGGGGGTGGCGGACCTTGTTGGCTCTACTAAGATTGTGGGGCCTCAAAGAGGAGAGGCTAGGGCAGGAGTGTCCCTGGGGTGGGGGCAAAGGAAGCATCTGCGCCTATTGGCCATGCCCTGCCTAGGGGCCGGACAGTCTCCTGTTTCCTGAAGTGCAGGGGCCTTAGGTGGCATCCTTTCTCCTGTCGTTTGTAGGCGTGGGCTGCACGGTGGAAAGGGGTGGGATGTTGAGGGAAAGAAGTCTAGTCGCCATCTGAGAAATGGGGAGAGGCATTGCCTAGCAGCCCTAGGACCAGCCCTGATCTGAGGCAGGAGTTGGGGTGGGGGTGGGTAGAGGTGGGCTGGTTCCTCTGTTTTTGGGCCTTGGGACTGTTCCCCTACCCCCATGTGTGTGTCATGGGGGCAAGCATAGTCAGCCCAGCTCAGTGGCTTGGTCAACCCAGATTCGGCCCCAATTCAGCCCCAACTTGGCCCCTTCTCCCTGGGAGGCTGAGGCCTCCAAGCCTCAGCAGCCCTTTAAGCCTGGATGTGCACCCAGTGTACATCCACCAGGCACAGGGATGCCAGACGGTGCTCATAGGCAGTCTGTCCGTGTAGCTGGTGAAACCCACCATCCAAAGAGTGTGGCTGTGGAGAGTTCTCGAGTGGCCACTTAGCTTCGGACAGGCTGAAGGAGGCTGCTTGTCTCCCAGGACAGGGTTAATGGCAACGACCTCACCTGTTTGGTGCTGTCAGCGTTCAGCTTTGACTCCTGCTGGATGCTAGGTGGAGGGAGCTGAGAGGGTGCTGTTCTGGAGGGTCTCCCACAGCAGTGCAGGGGCCAAGCATGCAGCAACTCTAACGTCCTTTTGCAGGGGCAGACATGGAAGGCCCAGGTAGGGCTTCCCTGGGCACCGAGGGGCATGGCATCCATTGTCAGGAAGGCGCCACGTAGACCTTGCTTTGGCGCTGCAGCTTGTTGGGAGGAGTTGGCCAAGCCCCATTTCATCCTGGTCTGCTCCCTGGGGAGGACTGTAGTCTGCCATGTCCCAGCTGCTGCCTGGTGGACCCTGGGAAGAGGGGGACTCGAGTTGTCTGCAGGGTAATGGGGCTGATCCTGGGTTGGCTGATGGGGTAGTGGTGCCTGGGCAACAAGGAAGCACGGCCTGCTTTTCCCACTGGAGTGATCTGCAGCTGGGAAGTCAGGGAGAGAGAGCTCTGGGCCTCAGGAGAGCAGGGGCCCCGGGGCCTGCTCCTTACCGAAGGAGTTTACCTGAGGAAACAGACAGCTTGACCTTGGAGGGAAGTGAGACAGGAGCCCCCGAGGCCCAGGTTTCACACAGCATTCCTGGCACTTCCTAGCACTGTTTTCATAGTGAGGCATTTTAGGCAGAGGGAGAAGGCAGCAGGCGGGTTCACTGTGTCACAGATGTGTGAGGGAGGAACAGTCGTCAGGCTCCCCCTGCTGGATCAGTCCCAAATGTACGTGAGCGCCTGGGTGTTGCAGAGAGAGCCTCTCCCAAGGGAGGCCCCCAGGGGAGTAGGCCGTTCCCAGCGGGAGGGCCGGGGAGGGCAGTGAAGAAAAATCTGCTTCCTCTACATCTTCTCGCTGTGCTGTGAGAAATTTTGGAAAAAGTCAAAAGGACTGGACCACCCTGTGTTATCCAAGCTGAGATCGTGAGAGAGAACTGTGACTCTAAAGAGGGGCTTCCCCATTCTGGCTAGCCTGGGATTCAGACTGTGATAGTCACGTCCTCGCTTCCTGAGACAGTAGTGACCTTTGTTGCTGTGAGCCCGCCCTCCCCTGTGTACTGCTCCCAGGGCCTCATTTTATGGGTGAGGACATGGAGGCAGAGGTTGAAGACCGACCCAGGGCCTCCCCCAGTAGGTTCGAGGGTGAGCCCCCACCAGACACACCGCGTTCAGGGCCGCTCCCGGACTGAGGAAGCCCGGTGACCAAAGTGCTCAGGCTCAGGCGGAAACTGCAATTCCTCTCAGGGGACTCACTCTGCAGGCTGCCCCCCACCCCCTGCTGCAGGAGTAGCAGCAGGACCACATGAAAGGAGCAGAACCCAGTACATGCCCATCCTTCCAGCTTGCAGGGTGTCCTACCTGGTTGCTGGCCCCAGGAGACCTGCATCGTGGGGATGTGCCTCTTAGAGTGCACGCCTGTGGCTCTGGGTTCTTTGCCCTTTGAAGGCCGAACCGGAACATTTTTTGTTGTTTTCCATCAACAGTGGCAGCCCAGAGCTAAGTAACATTGGTCTCTGAGGTCTAGTGGGGCATGCTTGTCCTGTAGGGAGGGGTCTTCCATTATCAGGCACAGGTCCAGCAGCAGCAGGGTGGCAGGAGGCCTGACAGAGTGTCATGTTACTTGTTCAGGTTGAGCTTCAGTGACAGCGACAGTGACAACAGTGCCGACTCCTGCCTGCCCAGCCGAGAGCCCCCTCCCTCCAAGAAGCCACCACCACCCAACAGCAAGGTGAGCTCAGGGGGCACTCATGGGGACTCCTGCCCAGAGAAGGAAGTCATGCTGGTGGGCAGGTCTCAGTCACATCCTGGAGGCAGGGCTGAGGGCTGGGCCTTTATTGGTCTTAGGTCTGGGGTTGTCTGATGGTCCCAGGCTTAGGGTGGTGGGTACAGAGAGAGGCTTGGTTCACCCCCAGGCGCCAGAGGTGTGTCTGCTTCCCTTAGAGAAAGAGGCCAGAGAAAGGAGGATGGGCAGCCCCAGGGGTCTGGGCTGGCCCTGAACAGTCAGCGGTGGCCCTGGGGAGGTTGGAGAACCTGTGGGGTGTTGGGAGGGGCACAGGTAAGGGTTGAGAGCAGACCTGAGTTTGTTCTGCAGGCATCAGGCCGGAGAAGCCCCGAGTCCTGCAGCAAGCCTGAGAAGATCCTCAAGAGGGGCACATATGACAAGGTTGGGGGGCTCGGGCAGGGTGGGGGGTACCCTGGGGCTCCAGAACTGGACAGGCGAGCCTAGATGAGCCCCAGCAGCACCGGGCCAGCTTCTCTCCCAGGAACCCAGCTGAGATGGGCAGGACCGCGGGCAGGTTCCCTCAGGGCTGGGTGGTGGGATAGGCTGAGGCCACCTGCTGAGTGTCTGTCTACACCCTCCAGGCCTACACAGATGAACTGGTGGAGCTGCACCGGAGGCTGATGGCCCTCCGGGAGCGCAACGTGCTGCAGCAGGTATTAAGACAGAGCCCCCCCTTACCCTCGGCCCTGCTGAGGACTCAGGTTATCACACATGGGTACCTGGGGCGGGGGGTGCCTGCAAGGTGTGCAGGCTGCTGGAACCCCTTGCTATAGCCCCAAGGATCTTCCTCCTCTTTCTTGGGGGTCTGCTGGAGGGTGAGGGACACACCAGTCCAACTTCCTGTCCTCTGAAGCCACCCTGCCACTGCCTTCCAGATAGTGAACCTGATTGAGGAGACTGGACACTTCAATGTCACCAACACCACCTTCGACTTTGACCTCTTCTCCCTGGATGAGACCACCGTGCGTAAGCTGCAGAGCTACCTGGAGGCTGTGGCCACATGACCCTGGGCCGCGTGCCTGGCCCCTGTCATCGGGGTCCCGGGAAGCCACATCCGGGCCCTGCCTGCCTTCCTCTCTCTCAACTCACCCGCCCGCAGCACTGCCTTAGTGACCGCCCTGTCCTCGGCCCACAAGGCCAGCTGCACTTTCCTCGTTGGCTCCCGGCCTGCCCTCCCCACCAGCTCACCGGGAGCCATGGGGCCGAGGGGGGCCAGGTCAGCGCTGCTGTTGCTGCTCCCTGTTGCTCAGGGGCCGTCACCTGGGTCCTCCTTGGAAAGTGGCTTGTGTTGGAGGCAGCACTGGGCTTCATTCCTGTAGGGGAAGAAATGTGTCCGGTGGTGGGAGCCTTGCTCCATGGTGGGGCACGTGGCACAGTGTCACTGCCCAGGCATCTCTGAGCAGCTGGGGCATTGCCTCCAGCCTCCCCACATGGTTTGGACACACCAAACCCCAGGACCTTAGAGGGTCCAGCTGCTCCAGGCCAGGCCTTGGCTCGTCCTCCATGTGAGCCGCATGCAGCCCCTCTGTCGGCTCTCACTGTGCTGGGACTCCGTGCTGTATAGTCCTCTCCCTATTATATATGTATGTATGCACTGTAGGTACCAGAGCGGTTTCTGGGTGTGCATTTCTGTGGCAGCAGTGCACGTGGGGGGTGGGGGGTGAGTAAGGTGGGACTTTTAGGTTAAGATGTCTCCACTGGTCTTGTCGTTGGGCTAGAGGCCGAGCCGGAGTGCCAGCTGGCTCTGGAGGAATCCTCCCTCAGTGGTACAAGGATGCCTCGTCCTCCTTCCGGGACTCAGAAGGCACAGCCCGGGGCCCGTGAACACTACGATGGAGCAGTAGGTCCTCGGGCGCCTGGTCAGACTGGCAGCCATCTCCAGGGGCAGACCCCCCCCCCAAGGCTCCAGCCAGCTGCAGGCCCCCACTTGTAACGGCGCCCCTGGCCTCGGCCTCTCCTTCCCTCCATAGGATCCTCTTTCTCCTCTGTTGATTGAGTCTTCAAACTTTGAAAAAAAATGAGCTTTTGCCAAATAAGACGTGATAGTTTGTGGAGTGTTTTCCAGGAGCATCAGGACGCAGAGCCAGCTCCTCAGGCCCAGGCTCTGCCAGTGGCAGGCCCTCCCTGGCACACCTGTCCCTCTCTGGTTTGGGCTTGGCCCTCCCACACCTGCCATTCACACTTGTCCATAGCCCTGAGACTTAGTTCCTCGAACACCTGAGATTCTCCAAGGGCCAGGCTGGTTTCTCCTCCCTTGGCCCACCTTCCAGTGTCAGAATGCCCTCCTAGAGTCAGTCCACCTTGGGTGGGGCTCCTGAGAGCCTGTCTGCTCAGCCTCTGTTCCCCGAGACCTTGAATCAAGGCTCCTCCCGTTGCCCTCCCCCCAACTTTTGCCGTGAACAAGATGTGGGAAAAGGACTAGGGGCCCAGATGTGGGTTCACCTTCTCTCTCCAACCCACTGTCAGGCAAACCCTAAGCACTCCCTGGTGACCCCCACCTCCAAGGCTTCCCTGAGCTCTGGCCTTCCTGGTGAGATCCCCAGAACTCTCGGGGAAGGCCCAAGAGCTTTCAGGGGAAACCATCATGACTCCTCGCCGTTCACTCGTATTCTCTCCTGACCCTGCTGCCTTGAGTTACTAAGAAGAGGTCAGGCCTGTGTGGCAGGCCCTGTGCTGTCACCACCCTCTTCTCCAGGCAGGCCAGCAATACTCCAGAGCGGGCACTGTTCTTCTCTGGAAATTTTTCAGTACATTGGATGGAAGGGACTGGCCTGACGGGCTGCTCAGAAGGCAGCAGCTGCCTGGCCCTCTATGCACAGAGGCTGCCAGTGGTAACAGGCTGGAACCTCAGCTCAAGGGGACTAGTCTTTCTCCTTTATGAGGATCTCCTGGAAGGGGCTGCAGGCTCCATGTGGCAACGTAGGCAGCCCTCTGCTTTGGAGCCGGGCTCTCACCAGAGGCCACTGGAGAAAGGCTCTCTGGCTCACCCTCACTGTCAGCAGCATCTGGCGCTTCCTGCTGTTTCCAGGGCCTTCGGAAGCACCGACCCATTTCTCAGTTACCTCCTCTGGCCAGAAGGCCTCTAGTGCTGTTCTCTGGAGCTGCTTTGGGCACATGCTGGCCCGTGACCACCTGATGGACATGCCAGGCAGCCTGGGCCCCAACCACAGCATTCCTGGCTGCTCCTCTACCCCACCCCAACTCCCCCCAGCTGCCTGGCAGCTGGGCCCATGAGGGCTCTGGGGACGCTTCCATAGGAAGGGGCAGGCACTTTGTGATTGCCACGTGTTTAGTGTTAAGCCCTCTGCCCCCAGTGAAAATCCCTGTGTTGCGCTATCTCCTGAACAAAATGTAAACCGACACCTAAAAGCAAAAGGTATCGAATACCTTTTTACCCATAAGGGTTTTTACAAAGATTGTGTCTCACTAGGAACTAGGACACTTAACCAGCCTGAGACCAACTTCTGGATAAAAGGAATAAGGAGAATTGTGTTTGTAATAAGTTACAGGATTGTTTCTGTCCTGGATTTTAAACTTTTTGTTAAATTGTGAAATTATGGAGGAATTTTATAGAAAAAAAGTGAAATAAAGTCAGATGGGAAAGCAAACCTGTGTGCAGACCTGTGCATCTGTTTGGTTCCTCCTGCCTTGGAGTTGGCGGGTGGGACCACAAAATCCCCTGGGGGTTCCCTGTCCCCTCTCCATGTTTCACTGCCTCCAGATCAACAACCAGGAAGAGGTGACAGGGTTGGGACCAAGCCTGGGGTTCAGCAGGAGGGAAGACAGAGTATGAGCAGAGTTGGCTTCCTGGAGGAAGAGATGGTGCCGCCAGGAATCTGTGAGGGACAAGACAGTGGAGAACTGGTCTCAGGTCTTGCCTTTGATATGTTCTTTCTTTGGATCCTGGCAGCAAGGTTTGGGCTGAAAAGCAAGTCTAACTTAAGGAGGTGGATCGATGGATGTGTTGATTGAAAGCTAGACAGAAAGGAAAATGTGGGCAAAGACATTCTTTGCTGGACACTAGGGTGCCCATCTGTCAGTTTGTCCGTGGTGTGTATTGCTCTAGACTCAGTATGGTAGAGTGGAGTTAACCCCAAGGCAACAAAGCTCTTGCGGACCCCATTTAAGCAGCCCTGTTCACTCTGGGCCCTGGCTCCACTAGAGGAGCCAGAACTTCTACTGCCAAGTGGTCAGTATTGCAGGCCGATACGCTCTGGCCACCGAGCCCACAGCAGCTGGGGAGACAGCTGCCCACACTCAGGAGCAGGTTTCTTCCCCTTCTAATTGACAGCCAAAAATTCTTTGCAACATCAGGGCTGTGGCCTTTGCCATCCTTGTTTTTCCTACCACAGAAAGGTTTTGCAGGCCTTCTGGAGCAGTTTCTGGTCCAAGTGAAAGAGGCTACAGTGGTTCTCACACTTCCCACACCTGTACAATGCAGTGGGAATACTTGTGTGTTAAAAACACAGCTGCAGGCCAAGCACAGCACTAAGGGTTATCTCATGGCCCTGGGCAGGTGGCTCAAGACAAAGTATCGTCCCATACACCCCACCCCCTCGCCACTAAAAAGGTTGTGGATTTTAACCCTAGTCAGAGCACATACCTAGACTGCAGGTTCTATCCCTGATCCAGGCACATATGGGAAGCAACTAATCAGTGTTTCTCCCTCCCACTCTCTCTAAAATCAATAAACATCCTCTGGTGAGGGTTAAAAACAAAAAGATCTCATGGACTCTTCACAACCACTCAAGGTCGGTACTGCCATCAGAATCCCCATCGACAGATGAAGAAACAGCATTTGCCTGCCTACTTCAGTACAGCTAGTAGGTGCATTTCAGAGACTCAGGCCCAGGTGTGTGTTGTTGCTTATGGCAGATTCATAGTTTATTTGTATCTACCCACATAATTGCCCCCTGGGTCACTTTTCTGTCTTTCTGTGGTTCACTATGCAGTCGTTTCCCTGGATTCTGAAGAGTTCTCATTAGCATTTCATTCAGTGCAGTTATGAATTCTCTCAGCTGTTGTTTATTGAAAATATTTTCATTTCATCTCTATTTTATAAGGATACATTTACTAGGTGTGGAATTCTAGGCTGGTGACCATTTACTTCCAAAACATCATCCCATTGTTTTTTGGCTTCCATTGCTCCTGTTGAGAAGTCATCTGTGAGGTCTCGTTGCCCCTTTGAGGATGATGTGTCTTTTGTTTCTGGTGCCTTTTGTTTGCAACAAAAATTTATTTTCCTACAGTTCTGGGGTTCAGAAGTCTGGAATCAGTTTCATGGGGCTAAAATCGAGGTGTCAGCAGGCCTGTGTTCCTTCTGGAGGCTCTGAGGCCAGGGTGAGAATCATTGAGAAAATACATATATTTCTGTACTGAGTGTGAGCATTTTTGACAATCTAATCAGCTATCTGTATTTCCTTAATGATGAACAAATATTGAAAAGGAAGCGAAAAATGTTTGCCAGAGATATGCTGATCTATGTAAAAAGCCTATATACATTTTGAGAAATAGTTTGGCTATGAAGTGTCTGGATATAATCCTAACATAAAAAAAATCAACTTTGTTCCTTCCCATATATCAACAATAACCACCTAGAAAGGAAGAAATCATATCCACAATAGAAACACAAATTATAAGCTAGAATAATTTACCAAAAACTATGTAAGATAGTTACGGATAAAATTGTTAAGGTTTATTAAAACACGTGAATAAATGGAAAGATATACCATCTTAATGAATGGTCAGCCTCAATATTATAAAAGTTATTTTTCCCCAGATCTATAAAATTCAATTTCAATCAAAATCCAAATAGGAATTTTTATGGAATATGAGGAGTTGGTTTTAAAGTTTACATAGATAAAAAAACACTAGATAAAATGATATGAAGGAAGGCTTTGTCCTACCAAAATCAAAACATAAAGCTATAGTAATTAAAACAGCATGAAGGATTCCCTAACCATTGCCACTAGGTTCGTTGGGCATCCCACAAAGCAAAAGGTCACTGGTTCAGTTCCTGGTCAGGGCACATCCCTGGGTTTCAGGTCCCATAGTTGGGTGTGTGCAAGAGGCAACCAATTGATATTTCTCTCCCTCTCTCCCTTCCCCTCTCTTTATAGATAAATAAAATCTTTTTTTAAAAAAAAGCAGCATGAAGGACTTGTAACCAGAATATATGAGTATAAAGAACACTTATACCTCAATAATAAAAAGGCAAATAACTTAGTTCAAACATTGGCAAATAATTGGAATAGACATTTCTCTAAAGAAGATACACATGTGAATATGTTACATTCAAATAATAATGGAATGCTACTCAACCATAAAAAATGAGTGAACTGTTGATACATTCAGATGAATTTCTGCAAAGCGGAAGAAGCCAGACACAGGAGACTATGTATTGTATGGAGTTCCGTGAAGCAGAGTGAAAAGTCTGGGCTCAGAGGCATGTGACTGACCTGGTTGACGACGGATCCCAACCCCATTCTAACAAGCAGAGGCTGGAAAGCTAAAAGCTATTCCCCGGAATCCCATGCAGGGTCGTTTCTGAATATGACTCGGGTTCCACTGATCATGACTGATTTGGAAGTGAGTCCTGTGAGGGGAAGAGACAGGGTGGTCCTGGTAGAAACGATGTGGTTATGGGGCCAGTGAAGGTAGCATCAGCTCTCTGCTCTAGCCAGCAGTTTCCTGACTCAGCAGCTTTGTGGGCATAAGCAGTTTTCCTGACCACAGTAGGGGCAATGGGATTCCACCGTCAGCTGTTACAGAAGTGGCAGAACCTTCTCAGCTGGTGAACGAGGGGTTGTCTCTGCAGCATGCTCTTCCAGGCCTGCCAGTGATTTTTTTCCTGTTTTCTTCGGAGCTATAATTTACAAAGCATGAAATTCATCCATTGTAAGAGTACAGTACTACAATTTTTACTAAATTCATACAGATGTGAAACCATCACCATAGTAATTTTAGGACACTTTCTATCACCCTGAAAAGTTTCCTTATTCAGCATGAGATCAATTCTATTTCTAACCTCAGGCAACCACCGATCTGCTTTGTCTCCATAGTTTTCCCTTTACTAGAAATGTCATATAAATGCAATAATACAACATGTAGTCTTTTGTGCCTGGCTTCTACTTTGAATAAGTTCGTCTGCATGTTTCAGTAGTTCATTCACTTCTCCAGTTGAGTGGTATTCTCTTATTTCTGCTTACCATTCATCAGTTGATGAACATTTGGACTCCGCCCCCCCAACCCCAGCATTGGGTGATTATGCATATTGCCTCTAGGAACATTCATGTACAACTTTTTGTATAGACACAGGTTTTTATTTCTTGGCCATATACCTAGAAGTTGAACTGCTGGGTCAAACATACTGAGTTTAACATTTTAAGAAATTTCTAAACGGCTTTCTAAAGTGGCTGTGCCATTTTATAGTGCCACCAACAACGTATGAGGGTCCCAGTTTTTCAGATTTTTACATTTTCTCCATCCTAGTGATATGAAGTGGTATCTCATTGTGATTTTGATTTGCTTTTCCCTGATGATTCATGACATTGAGCATCTTTTCAAGTGCTAATTGGCCACTTGTGTATCTTTTGAGAAATATTCAAATCCTTTGCTCATTTTAAAATTGAGTCGTTTTATTCTTGAATTGTAAGAGCTCTTTATATATTCTAGCTACAAGTTCTTTGGCAGATACATAATTCTTAAATATTTTGTCTTTTTGTTTTCAAAGTTGGCATTTACTTAACCGTATCTTTTGAAAAGCAAGAGTTTTTAATTTTGATGAAGTCCAGTTTTGTGGGGTTTTTTGGTATATATATATATATATATATATGATTGTACACATTATACTAATGACCCCCTGCCCTGGTGCCAACCAGTCAGTGGAGAGACCATGACCCTGAAAGGATATGCCTGGAAAGCGGACAGTCTGTTGAGACCCTCCCCTGGGACCTCCCTAAAGCCCCTGCCCTCGAGAGCCCTCAGGACGGAGGACCCCGCTGCCCTCTCTGCAGAGCACACCGGCCCCTTCCCCTTGCCTGCCCCCAGGCGTGTTTTCCTTGCCTGCCTCTCCCCCCTAAGCTCCAGGGGCCCTTGCTTTGCCTCTGCCACTTGTTCCTGAGCCTAGATCTCCTTCTGCAGGTCACTTCCTCTACCTCTGTGACTTCCTCAATAAACTTTCTCTTATAGTCTGAGTCTTGGCTCTGAATTCTGTCTCAGCCAGAACTCAAGTACCAAAGTTGCTGAACCGAGGTCTGGTCTCACTCCACGGGACTGACACCTGGTGCTCTTTCACCGCCATTGTAAGTTCTCTTACTTATTTTTGCACACTATTCCAGCATAATTTGTTGAAAAGGCCATTTTTTCCCACTACTATTTGCACTCCCTTGGCACCTTTATGAGAAATCAGTTGCCCGTAAGGGTGAACTGTAACTTCTGGACACTCTATTTCGTTTTATTGATCTGCATGGCTATCCCTTCACCAGTACTACACTGTCTTGATTATATAGCTTAATGGTAAGTTGTTAATCAGAAATCTTCCACCTCTGCTCTTTTATTAAAGGCAGGGATCTATCTAGTGACGTGAGGAAGAGTAGACCACTGTGGG